GAGATCCTGTCTCAAAAAGACCAAATAAAATAAAATAAAATAAAATAAAATGAATCAAGTATGGTGGTTTACACCTGTAATCCCAGCACTTAGAAGACTCAGGCAGGAGATCATATGCTGGAAATCAGTCCACACTACATAGTGAGTTCCAGCCTGTCTGAGCTACATCATAAGACCTTGAGACCTTGTCCGAGGGATTGTTCAGCTGTTGAGTACTTACCTAGCATGCAGGATGCCCTAAGTTCAGCTCTCAGCACTGTGTAAACTGAATTCTAGTTTGTTCCTCTGTTACTGTGATAAAACACACTGACAGAAAGCAACTTGGAGAGGAAAGGGTAAATTTGGCTTATACTTCTGGGTAATAGCCCGTCACTGAGGGGAGTCAAGGCAGGAATTCAAGACAAGAACTTAGAGCATAAGCCATGGACTAATGCTCTTCACTGCCTCACTTACCGGCTCATACTCAGCTAGCTCTTTTTCAAAATTTTTTGAGATAGGTTCTCCCCATAGCCCCAGCTGGCCTGGAACTTGTCATGTAGACCAGAGTTCTACCTCTGCCTCTTGAGTGTTGGAGTGTTGGGATTAAAGATGTATACCACCATGTCTGGCTCTTTTGTTATTATTATTTTTTTTTTTTACTATTTTTGAAATTTTTATTTTATATGTATGAGTGTTTTGAACGACTGTATGTAAGTGGACCACATGCATGCAGTACCTGTGGAGGCCAGAAGAGGGTGTCAGATCCCCTGGAACTTGAGTTATGGGCACTGGGAACTGAACCCAGGTCCTCTGCAAAAGCAGCAAGAACTCTTAACTCTGAACCAGCCCTCCAGCCCCTCAGCTTGTTTTCTTTTCATTTATTTAAAAATATTTTTATTGACAGCACTCTTGGGAGGCAGAGGCAGGCAGATCTCTGGGAGTTCGAGGCCAGCCTGGTCTCCATGGTGAATCCAGGACAGCTGTGGCTACAGGGAGACCCTGTCTCAAAAAGACCAAAAAAAAAAAAAAAAAAATCTTTTTTTAATTGACTTTTTGTGCATTTCATACATAACATCTTAATCATCTTTATACCCTCATCCCCATCGACCCCCTCATAGACCTCTCTCCAACTGGAACTCATACATTCTGTCATTTGTTTTAAGGCCCATCATGTCAGGATAGTGTCTCCAGATGTCCCTCAGTGCAAGTTCAACCACTGAGGTCTAGTCAGCCTAGAGCATCAGCTTCAGCTAGTTTTCTTATACAGCCCAGGCCCACCTGCCTAGGGATAGTGCCAATCACAATGGGCTAGGCCCTCCCACATCAATTATCAATAAAGACAATCTCTCACAGGCGAATTGGATGAAGGTAATTCTTCAATTGAGGTTCCCATTTCCAGGCAACTCTAGCTTATGTCAAGTTGACAATAAAAACTAACCAGGACACTAGGCATAGTGGTACATACCTATGATCCAAGCACTCAGGAGGTAGAAGCAGAAGGATCAGGAGTTCAGGGCCAGCCTTGGTGAAATAGAAAGTTCAAGGCTAGCCTGGACTAAATGAACTATTTAAACAACAGACAATAATTGGGGTTGGAGAGATGGCTCAGCAGTTAAGAGACTGGCTGTTCTTGCAGAGGACCCGGGTTTGGTTCCCAGCACCCACATAGTGGCTAATAACCATCTGTAACTTCAGTTCCCGGGGATTTGACACCCTCTTCTGATCTCTGAAGGCATTGTATGACATGGTGCCACTTATATACATGCAGGTAATACACACAAACATAAAAATAATAAAATATTAAAAAAATAAAGCTGGACATGGTGGCACACACCTTTAGTCACAGCACTTGGAAAGCTGATCTTTGTGAGAGTGAGGTCAGCCTGATCTACACAGTGAGTTACAGGCCGACTGTAGCTACAGGGGGACTCTCTCAAAAAGCCATGCACACAAAAAATGTTTAAAAAATTAGAACTCTGGGGTAGAAAACAGTACAAAAATTATTCAAGAGTGTAAGTGAAAGCTGGGCATGGTGGCCTACTCCCGTAATCCCCATATTCAGGAACCTCACGTTCAGACTCAGCTAGAATAAGTTCCTGGTCAACCTGGGTTTCCGAGTGAGTTCAAGGACAGCCTGAGGTATGGAGTGAGATGATCTCAAAAGAGAAAAAAACTACCAACCAACCAACCAAACAAACAAACCCCAACATCTGAGCTGGCAGATTCTACAAGAAAGGTTTTTGTTTTGTTTTGTTTATCCCATTTAAAATATTAGAAATTTAGCTGTTTTCTGGGTGTTCGGACAAAATTGGATTTATGTAAGCTTTCATTAGTCTCCATAAGCCAATCAAAACAAAGGTCCTTGAATTGAAGTCTTTATAATCTGATTTGTTGATACTCAGGAAGCCAGAGAATATCCCACACACCCACAATAAGATTTAAGGTTTATTATCTCCTAAACTACATTTTCCCAGCTCACTCCCTAGACAGTGAGGCAGAGCCATAACACAGCCTAGGTTACAAAGGACTTTTCTTCTTCCCAAAGGGCACAAAAAAAATTTAAGTGATTTAAAACAATAAAAATAAAAAGGTTTAAGTGATTTGATCTGACAAATAATCCGAATTGGGTGGTGGCACACACCTTTAATCCCAGCACTCTGGAGACTGAGGCAGGTGGATTTCTGTGAGATCAAGGCTAGCCTGGTCTACTGAGTTCCAACCAAGGTTACATAGTGAGACTTGTCTTAAAAAAACATTAGAATTATACTTCAATTTAATTGGGCACATGATTTCAATATTTTCTTATCTTACTATCTTAAAAGAGGCATTTGTCATTCCTTGAATATATATCTTTAGTAAATATGTTGCATATATTCACAAATATCTAGTATTAATTTGCATGTTTTAAAACTTCATAAATGGCATCATGTGGCATGAATTCCTTTGTAACTTGCTTTTTTCTTTGATTTTACATTATTTAGTTTTTTTTTGTTGTTGTTTTCTGTTTTTTTTTTTTTTGTCTTTTTGAGACAGGGTCTCCTTGTAGCCCCAGCTGTCCTGGAACTCATTATGTAGACCAGGCTGGCCTCAAACTCACAAAGATCCACCTGCCTCTGCCTCCCAAGTGCTGGGATTAAAGGTGTGAGCCACCACGCCTGGCAAGCTTACATTATTTAGTATCTTTTTACTCCTGAGGATCAAATCCCATGATTTAGAATGTTGTATCATTTAAGAATGGACTTGGTGAGGAAAGCCTGGGCTTGGAGTAAAAGATTGTATCCTGGGGCTGGAGAGATGACTCAGTGGTTAAGAACACTGGCTGTTCTTGCAGAAGACCTGGGTTTGAATCCTAGTACCCACATGGCAGCTAACAGCTGTCCGTAACTCCAGTTCCAGGGGATCCAACAGCCTCTTCTGTCCTCCGGGGGCATTGCACAACACAGGTGCACTTACCTACATGCAGGCAATACATGCATGCACATAAAATTAAAAAAAAAAAAAAGATTGTATCCTATCTTCTTGTTCCTCTGACTAGGAGTCACTACTTCTTTCCCAGTGCCAAGCACTGGGCTAGGTACCTGAGGATATGTTCTTAGCTTCTTCCCCGCATTCGAATCCTTGGTGATCTCATTCAAGCCTGAAATCTATGGCTCCAACCCAGACTTTGCTTCCTAATCTTCTAACCCATGTATCCAATCCTGGAATCCCCACTTAAATACCCCATAGGCAATCTCAGGACAATGTGTATAAAAATGAATTCACCTGTGCACAGTGACCCTCTTCTGGTGGGCCCTGTGATAGGGAAGAGCTACAGTGTGTCTATCCTGTTATCTTAGAGCCCCTCACTGGCCAAGGGTGCTCTTTATTCATCCTGCATCTCTCTCTCTCTCTCTCTCTCTCTCTCTCTCTCTCTCTCTCTCATTTCTCTCTCCTTCCTTTTTCTTTCTTGAGAGAAGGTCTCATTTGTAGCTAGAGCTGGCCTGAAACTTGCTCTGTAGACTGGCTTCAACTCAGAGATCTGCCTGCCTCTGCCTCCCAAGTGATGGGATTAAGGGCGAGGGTTATCACACCCAGCCTCATCCTGCATTTTGTGTGTGTCTGTGTGTGTGTGCACGCACCAACCTGTCCCAGGTTCTGTGTTTTATGTTGTTGTTTTTCAGGGGACAGAGTCTTCTTGTTTACAATGGTAAGTTATTTTTATGGTGGGTGTGAACCCAAAGCCTCCCGAATGCTAGGCAGGGTGCTCTATGTAACTCAGGCTGGCCCTGCACTCAGAATCTTCCTGCCTTGGCCCTGGCAAGCACAGGTGTGACCCACTATGCCTAGATTCAAAAGCATTTTACTAACTTTATTATTTCTTTAAAAATCTTTTGTTTATTATTCATTTCTTGGTGTCCATTTAAGTTGGAAATCCCTTGAGTGCAAGAAATTTACCATTTTATCTCCAGTTCCCAAAAACCCCAATACTCACACACTGGGTATAGTCAATATTAGGGAATGCCTAAATTGTGTGGTGGAGCATCTTTTGGAGAGAGAACAGAGGTGCCCCGCCTGAGCAGAAACCACCGACCCTTCCCTAGGGCTTTGGTCTGGAGGGATGGTGTCCGGAACACCCGAGGGCACGAAGGCTTGCTCGTCTGGAGTCTCCGGGTGCTGTGTCCCCAACAGCCCTTGGGTCAAACAGTTGCTGAAACTGAAGGTTTGAGGGTGTAGGTAGAGAGAGACAGACACAATGACTTTGAGACGTGGTAAAGGTCAGAGGTCCCTCGAGTGACTCCTTGGCCTGCTAAGGGGCTGGAGGAGGGCTGGAGGAGGGCTGGGTGTGGCCGCTCCTGGGGGTGGGGCCAGGATGCCTTGACTCCTCCCAGTGGTAGGTGTTAAGTAGCGTGGCGGTTGTGTGATTGTGGCGTAGTGGTGCTGGGACACCATCTTGTGACGGCACCACGCGGCCAGCCTCCCCTCCGGTCTGACGTGGGCCTGGATCCCCCGTCATCCCACTGTGCACCTGATCCCCTGCCGACATGGAGAGGGAAGACAAGCAGCTGAGCCAGTGGCAGGCTGGGCACCAGTCTCCTCTGGTGAGTCTGGGGTCCGCCCCAGGGGGCTGCGGGATGGTGCGGGGAGGGCAAATGGAGCACAGGAGAGCGGGCACGAGGCCAAGCGAGGTGGGCAGGACAAGAAACCTGTTGTTTATTCAATTAGTATCATCAGGTATTAGAGCCTATGTGGGAGGTGAAGGTGGAAGTGTTCTAGGCAGCTTTGGAGAAAGGGACTTGTGTACCCTGGGCAGCAAAACCAGGTTAGGAAGTCGGCAGGGAAGAGCTGGGAGGAAAAACTGATTGAAGCCCCTTACCAGACTGTGCCGTTTACAAAGGTGAGTTATTCTTATGGTGGGAAGTGAACCCAAAGCCTCCCGAATGCTAGGCAGGTGCTCTACCACTGAGGTACAGTCCCAGCCAATAACATTTTTTAAATAAGTAATTAGTGGACTGATTGGAACTAACAAATTACTATCGAAGTATGTAGAGTCATGGTAGCAAATGGCAGGGGTGCTGGATCTGAGGTGAGTGGAGGTTAGGTCTGAGATGAGAGAATTGCTAAGTTGGAGGGTTCTGGTCCTGAGACCTGAGGCAGTTGTGCTTGGACTTTGAAGAAACTGAAGATGGGCTCTGAGACCGGGATCAAGAGTGAATTGGAAATTGGTACTATACAAGGGGAAGTAGGGAGCCATGAGGTCATTCCTGGATGGAGCTGGCAACTCTTAGAACAGTAGGCAGCCTTGATGAGTTTAAACATGATCTGTCACAATGACTGACATCTTAACATGTACACCAAGCTGGGTGTGTGGCAAATGCTTTGAATCCCAGCTTTTGGGAAGTAGAGGCAGGGGGCTCAAGGTCAAATGTAGCTACCTAATGAGCTTCAGGCCTGAGACTAAGCTGGGCTACCAAGAGTATCTTAGGGCCTAAGAGATGACTTACTGGGTAAACGTGCTTGCCACATATGCCTGGCAACCCATGTGAAGGAGGCGGGAAAGAACTGACTCAATGAAGTTGCCCTCTGACCTCTGCTATCACACACACTTTTTTTGGGGGGGGTCTTTTTGAGACAGGGTCTCCTTGTAACCTCAGCTGACCTGGAACTTGCTGTGGAGACCAGGCTGGACTTAATCTCACAGAGATCCACCTGCCTCTGCCTCCGGAGTGCTGGGTTTAAAGGCGTGCACCACCACACCCGGCTACAACATTTTTTTTTTTTTTTAAGACAAGGGTCTCTAGGGGGCTAGAGAGATAGCTGGCCTGGATCTCTCCCTGTAGACCAGGCTGGTCTCAAACTCACAGAGATCTGCCTCCCAAGAGATGGAATTAAAGGCATGTGCTACCACACCCAGTGATAATAACAGCAATAAAATGTTTTAATTTTTTAATAAAAAATTTATGTGTATGAGTGTAGTGCCTGTATGTATGTTAGTGCACCTGTATGTATGTTTGTTAGTGCACCCGTGTAATGAAAAGCCTGAGGAGGTATTAAGGAGGCATCCGATCCCCTGGAACTGGAGTTACGGACTGATTGTTAGCTCCAATGTGGGTGCTAGGAACCTAATCCAGGTCCTCTACAAGAGCAGCCAGTAGCCGGGCATGGTGGCGCGTGCCTTTAATCCCAGCACTTGGGAGGCAGAGGCAGGCAGATCTTTGTGAGTTCGAGGCCAGCCTGCTACTACATAGTGAGTTCCATGACAGCCAGACCCTGTCTCAAAGACAAAAAAAAAAAAAAAAAAAGAGCAGCCAGTTCTCTTAACCACCAAACCCTCTCTCTGGCCCCTAAATATAATTTTAAAGGCTCTATTCCAACCCCCCCCAAAAAAGGGGTACCCTAGGGAATGGAGGTGCTTACTTCAAGGCAGTAATTAGAAAGCTATTTTGGGGGCTTGAGAGATGTCACATGCTGTTAAAAGCACTGGCACCCTCTTCTAGATGCCAAGGGCATTGGACTCACCATTTAATAAATTTAAAAAACCAAATGATTCATTGTGATAATCTGTGTGAGTAAATTTATTTTTATTTTATCTGTATGAGTGTTGCATAACCGCACCTGTGTCATGCAGTGCCCATGGAGGCCAGAAGAAGGTGTCGGATCCCCTGCAACTGGAGTTAAGGATGGGTTTTAGCCACCATGTGGATGCTGGGATTTGGATTGGGGTCCTCTGCAAGAGCAGCCAGTGCTCTTAACCACTGAGCCATCTTTCCAGACCCTGGAGATGTCTAGGAACAGAGTCAGAACTGGTGATTGCATCTGTGTCAGAGTTTCCACATCTGCTGATTCAATTTCTTTTTCTTGCTATATTGCCTACAGAAATGCAGTATAATAAGTACATAGCTCCTGCATTGTATTGTATATATAAATAGTCCAGAGGTGTTGTAAGGTATACAGATATGGGCTACGTGCAAACATGACACCAGTTTATCCAAGGGACTTGGGAATGTCAGTGGATAGGAGTCCTGGAGCCAGGCCCCTGTGGATCCAAGTAGGAATAACTACTTGGATCTAGGTGATGAGGAGTCTTTCAAGGATTTGCTGACTTCTGACTGGCAGGATTGAGTGTAAAGAGTAGTGAGATTTTCTGGGACAAGGATGAAAAGGAAGATTAACAGGGTTTGGGGGAGGGGTGGCTGTCTGACTTTTGGATACAGGCCATTTGAAGTGCCTGTGGGCTCTCCAAATGGACCTGAGGAGTAGGCAGCTTGAAAGGCCCAGGAGAAGGAGGGTGGGTGGTCTTCCCTGGAGCTGTAAATTTAAAAACAATGAAGCATAGATAGAAATGGTCTATTAGCATGAGAAAGAACCCCTGGAAGTGTGGGGTAAGAAGTGGCCAGAGACCGACCGGAAGGAGAAGGGCTAGGAGAATGTAGTGTCAAGGGAGCCTGTCTCACCTCTGAGGAACACCTGAGTGATCAGCAAGGTCTAAGAAGTGTTGCTTGGTTATAGTGATATGAAGGTCATTAATGACCTGTACGAAAGCTGACTCTGGGCTTGGTGGTGTACGCCTTTAATTTAAAACCAAACCAAAACAGAAGCTGGCTCTGAAGAAATGGGGGGTCAGAGCCTATTTGGGGGAGCAATAAGTGAAGTGAAGTGGGGGTGAAGGTGAGCTTACACAAGTTTGCCTGTGAAAGCCTGGAAAGAGATGGCCATTCCTGAGGGAGGTGAAAGAGACTGACTGTCCCCCACCCCCACCCTGAAACAATACTCATCTTCTATCCAGAGTCTGGCACATGTCTACTTGTTTTATGTTGGTTGCTGAGTGAAGGGAGATTTCCATTAACTGAGCACATAACGGCAAACAAAGCAGATTAGTTCATTCAAAGTCCTTTAAAGTTTCTTTTATTATTATTGTTATTGGATTTTTGAGACACGGGTCTCCTTGTAGCCCCAGCTGACCTGGAACTCACTGTGTAGATCAGGGTGGCCTTGAACTCACAGAGATCTGCCTGCCTCTGCCTCCCCAGTGCTGGGACCAGGCACCACCATGTGAGGTTCTACTTTCTTTTCTTAAACCCGTTCAGTTTAATCAGGGTTGCTTGCATGCAGGGTGTGGGGTTTTCATTTATTTATTTACTTATTTTCATTTTTATTTTTAAATATTTTATGTGTATGAGTATGTTGCCTGCCTGTAAATACACTTGGTGTCATGCATGCAATGAGCAAGGAGGTCAGAAGAAGGTGCTGAATCCCCTGGAACTGGAGTTAAGGATGGTTTGTAGCCACCATGTGGGTGCTGGGAATTGAACCTGGGTCCTCTGCAAGAGCAGTCAGTGCGCTTAACCACTGAGCCATCTCCAACCCCATATTTTTATTTTTATTATTTTTTATTTTATGTGTATGAGTGTTTTGCCTGCATGTAAGTGCACCTGTGTTGTGCAGTGCCCTTGGACGTCAGAAGAGGGCATCAGCCCCTGGATCTGGAGTTACAACTGGTTGTTAGCCCCATGTTGTCGCTTTTTTGAGACAAAGTCTTGATATAGCCCTGATTGGCCTGAAATTCAACTCCAGTTTGCAGCTGTCCTCCTGTCACAACAAAATAAAATAAAATGGAATGCATTTTAAAGAATCCTTTTCTGGGGTCTGGAGAGATGGCTCAGTGGTTAAGAACACTGGCTGTTCTTGCAGAGGACCCAGGTTCGAATCCCAGCACCCACATGGCAGTTAACAACTGTCCATAACTCCAGTCCCAGGAGATCGTAGCCTCTTCTCCCCTCCGTGGGCATTGCACAACACGCAGGCAATACATACATACACATAAAATTTAAAAAAAAAAAAAAAGGTGGTGCACGCCTTTAATCCCAGGACTGGGTGGCGGGGGGGAGGGGGGCAGAGGCAGGAGGATCTCTGTGAGTTCCAGGACAGCTGGGGCTAAAGGGAGACCCTGTCTCAAAAAAAAAGGCCAAAAAAAAAAAAAAAAAATCCTTTTCTGCTCTTGTTTATTGACTTTTGTAGCCCAGGGTAGCCTCAGCCTCTTGAATACTAGGATGACAGGTGTTCACCACCACACCCTGCCCACCTGTCTTTTGATTGGCAAGTGTGATTTTTTATGTTTAACACGTATACTGCTGAGGGATTGAATTCTGCCCTTTCGTTCCTTGGTTCCATCTTTTTGGTCTTTTTGAGACAAGGTCTCCCTATAGCTTCAGCTGGCCTGGCCTGGAACTTGCTATGTAGACCAGGCTGGCCTTGAATTTACAGAGATCTGCCTGCCTCTGCCTCCCTAGTACTTGGGATTAAAAACGTGGGCCACCACACCCAACTATTTAAGTCTCTTAAATTATGTTGGACAGCGCTGCAGAGGTGCCAGCTTTGTTGTGCTTTCACTTTAGCCTGAAGGATGGACTTCCCTTACTGTGTCTTTCCAGACAGGTCAAGCAGCTAGACCTCTCCACTTCAGTGTATCTGAGGATGTACTGCTTTTAAAAACATTTTCCAAGGATAGTTTTGCCAGATGGAGGATTTGTTTTTTGTTTTTTTTTTTTTTTTTTTTTTTTTTTTGTGGTGATTTTTTGAGAGAGGCTATTACTCTGCAGCCCTGGCTGGCCCAGGCTAGTGGTAAACTCTGATTACAGGCACATATAGCCCCATGTGACTCGCACATCTCTACACATAGGAGACTTTAAAAAAACTTTGGGGGCTGGAGAGATGGCTCAGTGATCTTGCAGAGGACCCAGGTTTGATTCCCAGTCACCCACATGGTGACACCCTCTTTTAACCTCTGTGGGCATTGCACTACACAGGTGCACTTACATACATGCAGGCATATACATAAAATATAAAATAATAAATAAATTAAAAGAGCTAGGCGTGGTGGTGCACATCTTTAATCCCAGCACTTGGGAGGAAGAGGTAGGCAGATCTCTGTGAGTTCAAGGCTAGCCTGGTCTGTAATAGTGAGTTCCAGGACAGTTGGGGCTACAGGGAGACCCTGTCTCAAAAAGAAAAAAAAAAAGAAAGAAAAGAAATCTTTGAATTTTTGTTTCAGTGCTGAGATTTAAACCCAGGGTCTAGAACATTTTTTTGTTTTGTTTAAAGTAGTGTTAAGAGTTTATTGAAAGGAGATTTTGTTTTGTTTGGGTTTTTTTTTTTTGTTTGTTGACAATCTCTTGAAATTAAGGATGACCTTAATACTAAGGTGCCTACCAGAATTTTTAATTTATTTTTATTTTATGTGTATGTGTGTATTGCTTGTGTGTAGGTAAGTGCACCCATGTTGTGTGATGCCCATGGAAGACAGAAGAGGCTGTCGGATCCCCTGGAACTGGAGTTACAGACAGTTGTTAGCTGCCATATGGGTGCTGGGATTCAAACCTGGGTCTTCTGCAAGAACAGTGTTCTTAACCACTGAGCCATCTCTCCAGACTCCCAAAGTATCTTTTTTTGAAATAATATATTTTATGTGTATGAGTGTATTGCCTGCATGTTTGTGAGTACACCCCTGTCCTGCAATGCTGTGGAGGACAGAAGAGGGCTTCGGATTCCCCTGGAACTGGTGTTAAGGACGGTTTGTAGCTGCCATGCTGGGTGCTGGGAATTGAACCTGGGTCTTCTGGAAGAGCAGTCAGTGCTCTTAACTGCTGAGCCATCTCTCCAGCCCCGCAAAGTATCTTTTATTTATAAATTTTATTAGAATTCTGTTAGGTTACAGGTGTGTTGACAAACAGCAATAACAAAAACAAAACACATATAAAATGGACAAAACAAATCCGTGCATGACACTTCATTACACACCTTTCATGAGACCATGTGTAATTAGACAAAGTTAGTGTTTGCTCTAAAAATAATATAAACAGTTCCAGTGAGATGGCTCTGAGGAAAGGTGCTGGCCTGCACACAAGGTAACTTGAGTGCAAGTTCTGTGACCCACACAATATAAGGAAAGAATTGACTCCTGCCAACTGTTGCCAACTGTTCTCTGATCTGTGTGTGCAACCCTTAAATAAATGCAAGAAAAATTACAAAACTCAAAGTAGTTTTAATATTAGGGTGGGAGTTGGAGCGATAGCTCAGCCATTAAGAGCACTGGCTGCTCTTGCAGAGGACCTGGGTTTGAGTCTCAGTATTCACATGGTGGCTAACAACTGTCCGTAACTCCAGTTCCAGGGGAAGATGCCCTCTTCTGACCTTGATGGGCATTGCACAACATGGGTACAGGCAATACACTCATACACATAAAATAAAAATAATAAAAATCTTAAAATAGGGTGGCAATGTTATTTTCACTTATAAGGTACTTAACCTCTTTATTATTTATTTATTTGTGGGGGATTAAGACAGATCTCTATAGTCCAAGTTGATCTCAAACTTGCTGTGTAGCCAAGGGGTGATCTTGAACTTCTGACCTTCCTATTTCTGCCTCTGGAATGCTGGGATTATAGGCCTTTGCCACACCCTAACCCCTCCACATATATATATATATATATATAAAGCTATACTTATTTGTGTGCTCTTTTATGTGTATATTATTACTTGCATGTATTGTAAGCACCAGTGGAGGTCAGAAGATGGCGTCAGATTCCCTGGAATTGGAGTTAAAGATGGTTGTTAACTACCATGTGGGTGCTGGGAATTTTCTATGTGTATGATGTGTGTGTGGGCATACTCGTGGAGGTCGGAGGACAATATCTCTGGTGTTGGTTCTCATTCTCCATCTTGTTTTTGGGGTTGGGGTTGTTTGTCAATGCCTCTGCCAGGCTAGCTGGCCCTGGAGCTTTGGAGGACTCTGCTGTCTCTGCCTTCCGTGTTGCCCTAGAAGCATGGCAATTACAGAGGCATGCCCTACCATGCCTGGCTTTATGTGCATTCTCTGAATTTGAATTCAGTTTGCTTGGCAAGTCCTTTATCCACTGATCCATCTCCTTGACCTTGGTCCTCTTAAATCTTGTACTCATTATGGTGTCCAGGAAAGAAGCTGTGAACAGTGGCAACTTGATATTCACGTTGTCATTAGAGACATGGTCAGTTCAGTAACCAGCCAAAATGCCAACAGAAAGACCAGTACTCAAAGACAGGACAACACTTATACCCCCAAATGTTCCAAATATCACCAGGGCCGCCTAACCAAAACCAACTTGGTCCATTGGTGAGGGTGCCATTTGTTAAGTTGCGGTAGGTGGCTCATGGCCTGTGATCGCAGCATTCAGCAGGCTGAGGCAGGAGGATTGCTGGGAGTAGTGGGCCACCTTAGGCTCCATGGTGAATGTAGAGTGAGACATTGGTGCTCTTTGTGGGAAAGCTCAGGTTACAGCTCATCATTGGCCTGCTCATGGGGGTGGGGAGGAGAGGCAGTGTGACAGGAAGTGGAGCTGGGCTAAGTCTAATCTGACTCTTTCTTTTGTAGGAGACTGAGAATTTGCCAATGCTGGATATGCCTCTGTCTTCCAGAAACCCTGGAGTGCATCAGCCACTGAGCATTCGACATTTTCCAGCGATACTGAGGTCCCATCTGGGATCTGCTGAGGCATCCAGGCAGAATGTGGGTGAAGGGGAGTCACAGTTCATCATTATGTCACTACCTGAGCACAGTGTGAGCTATTCCTCCCAAGTGACTCCCACCCCTTCCCAGACTTACTGTCAGAGAGCCTCATCCCCTCAGCCAGGGAGTATGATTGGCAGTGGGTCCCACATGGTACCCTTAGGAAGACCAGGTACCTTAGGAGTGGCCATGACCTTCAGTGAGAATCTGATCCCCTGCAGCCGCCTCCCAGCTTCCACTGGTATCTCAATGTCTCACAGCAGTGCCCCAACAATGCCTGATTCTGGCCCCACAACAGTACCTTCTACCACAGCCTCTTTAACACAGGAAATGTTATTGGTACCATGTATGTCTTCCACTGAGGCCCAGGCTATCCTCCCCTCTATGGATCAGATGCTGCACTCTAGAAATCCTTATGGCCCTGAGGTGCCCCCAGCTGGGCTTCAGCCACTGATGGCTTTAGAATCCCAGGACTCACTGTTGAACCAGTCAGACTGCCAGGAAGACCCCTTCTTATGTGAGCAGCCTGCACCAGCTCCACAGAGTGTAGAGAATTCAGGGGCTCCAGGAGGGGCACCCAGAAGGGAATCCCCAGTTTTGAGGCCTTTCTCCTGCCTGTACAACAACTGTGGAAAAGCTTATACCAAGCGCTCCCACCTCGTGAGTCACCAACGCAAGCACACAGGTGAATGAGGTGTTGGGTGGGTGGAGGTTGGGCGGGCTCTTTGGACTTTTTGATTTGTGTTGGACTGCTGGTTTGTAATTGCTTGGAATTAGCCCTTTTCTCTTTCAAGAATGAAACCAAACTCCTGTTCACACAAGCTTGCCATCTAGAATGAAGTGCCAGGATGATGGGGAGAGGCCCTTCTATGGGTTTTGCAGCACCCCCCATTCCTATCTCTTCCCTTTTGAACACTCTTACCTCAGAGTCAGATCCCTTCCTTCCTATCTTTCAGCCTCTTTTACTTAATTTCAGCTCTCTTCTCTCTACTAGGCGAGAAGCCCTACAAATGCAGCTGGGAAGGCTGTACCTGGTCTTTCTTCCGCTCTGATGAGCTTGGACGACATATGCGGATCCACACCAAATATAGACCACATAGATGTGACAAGTGTGGCCGACAGTTCATGAGATCTGACCATCTCAGGCAGCACCAGAGGACTCATCAGCGGATGCCAGAATCCCTACAGCCTCAGGCCAACACTGGACAGGCAGATGGTCCTCTTGCTTCTGACCAGGAGCTTTAGGCTCATCTCCTTCCTCTCCTTTTGACTTCTCTAACCCAGAATCTTCCTGCCTCGCACCAGCTCATCTCTGGGGTGGGTGGAGGTTCAGATGGAGATGGGAAGATTAGGAAGTGGTGGTAAAACCAGAATGAAGCTCTGGGCCCTGTCATGGATTTTATTATGTCTGGAAAACAAAAACAGTGGTCCTGGACATGTCATATGTATGTCAGAATCTCCCTGGCCTTGACAATTTACACACCTAGAGTTCCTGTCTCTTCCTATCAGACTTGGATGGAACATCCCACCATGAAACATGGCATCTGGAATTCCGTGTGACCGCACAACTGATCCTCATGGGGAGCTGATGCTCAATTGGGCAAAAACTCACTAATGCGCTGTGGGAGACAGAGAGCAGGGCAGAGAAATTCTGCCTCTCCTTCCCATGCATTGCAGAACACTATCCCCCACATGCAGCCTGTGGGGAGACCCTCCCGGGCAGTCAGTAACCACACCTGCCTCCTCAAAGCTAGTCATGAAGCAGTCCCAGAGTGGAACAAGTTGCTCTATCCTTCCCATTCTTCTTGGGCCCATTTGCATTTTCTCAGTCCTGTGCCTTGGCTTTTAATATCCAAATAAAACGTCAGTCTTTCTTTTGTCTGTTATGTAGGTGGTTTGGGGAATAGGAGGGGGAAGACATTAGGCTGGAGCTGAAAAGCATGAACTCCACTTAATTTCCCCACCTGGCCCAGGTCACAGGTTTTCATTATTTCTTTAGATTTTTTTCATTACATTTGTTTAGTATGTATATGTGTAGGTTAGAGAACAACTTGCAGAGGCCAGTTCTTCAACCACCTGGGTTCCAGAGATGGAATTTAGTTATCAGGGTTAGCAGCAGGTACCTTCACCTACTGCGGCATCTTGTCAGCCCTAGTTAGTTTCTTTTGAGATACTATCTTAAAGCCCAAGCTAACTTGCAGAGTAGCTGGTGATGACCTTGAACTCCTGATCCTCCTGCCTCTATTTCCTAAGTACTAGGATTACTGGCACCCACTATACCTTATTTTGTATGATGCTGGGGATGAAACCCAGGCTTTTCACATGCTAAGTACTCTGCCAACTGAGCTACAACCCCAAGTGCAGAGATCAAATGCATGTGCCAACATACCCAGCTCTTGTTTTTTTTGAGACTTGTTTTTTTGGGTCTCCTTGTAGCCCCAGCTGGCTTGGAACTCACTATGTGGACTAGGATGGCCTAGATCTACCTCCCAAGTGCTGGGATTAAAGGCATTAACCACTATACCTGGCTCTTCTATTTTGAGACAAGATTTCATTGTATATCCCAGGCTGCCTTTGAATTCACTATGCAGCCCAGGCTGACTCTAACCCACACCAGTAGTACTGCTGCAGCCTCCCAAGTGCTGCAGTTACAGGTGTGAGCCACCTGTGTGCAGGTGTTGCCTCTCCTACCCTGCTCTCTGATGTTGAAGGAGAATAACTATTCTGGCAACTCATCGCAATAGTCTAGAACTCCGATTGCCATTTTACTGAGCAGCAAGCTGATAGTGAGAAAGGAACTTGGCTAAGCTGTGTCTGGGGTCTCTGCCCTAAGAGCTGGTAACCTTTTTTATTTAATTAATAAATTTATTTATTTTTACACCCACTTCCCAGACGGCACCCTCCCATAGCCTCCCTCCCCCCACATTCTGGCAACTCATCGCAATAGTCTAGAACTCCGATTGCCATTTTACTGAGCAGCAAGCTGATAGTGAGAAAGGAACTTGGCTAAGCTGTGTCTGGGGTCTCTGCCCTAAGAGCTGGTAACCTTTTTTATTTAATTAATAAATTTATTTATTTTTACACCCACTTCCCAGACGGCACCCTCCCATAGCCTCCCTCCCCCCACTAGAGCCCTTATACTCTGATGTCCCTGCTACTGTCTGCTGTGT